GACATATTGCGCTGTCGTGCGTTGACCAATCACGAAGCGTCATTTCTTGACTGGCAGCAAAAACAACCAATCACAGCAGTGCTTCTCTGGCTGGCTCTGTCCAATCACAAACAAGAAGTTTTCTCCCTAAGGAATACCCTTTCCGTCCAATGTGAAATGCTGTGGTGTTTTGTGAAATGCTGCGGCGTTTTGTGAAATGCTGGGACGTTTTGTGAAATGCTGGGGCGTTTTGTGAAATGCTGTGGCGTTTTGTGAAATGCTGTGGCGTTTTGTGAAATGCTGTGGTGTCTTGCAGCTGTCCAAGTAATAGTCCTGCACCCTGTAGCTTTTTTTTTTTTAATAGATTACTAAACCAGATTAATCTTTAGAAGTTCTCGTAGGCACATTTCAACAGTCTCACTGAATTTCGTGCTCACCAACACGATTTTTGAATCTATTGATTCGTGTTCACCAACACGATTTTCCCCTTTTTTTCGTGTTGCACAGCTGGATTTTAAAAGCAATGTAAATGATAACAAATTAGAAAACAGATTAAAAAAATACAGATTTCAGTATTCTGAGGCTCTGAGCCATTTCTTTTAGAAATACATTGCTTTTAAAATCGTTCTGTGTGACACGAAAAAAATGCGAAAATCGTGTTGGTGAACACGAATCAATANATTTTCCCCTTTTTTTCGTGTTGCACAGCTGGATTTTAAAAGCGATGTAAATGATAACAAATTAGAAAACAGATTAAAAAAAATACAGATTTCAGTATTCTGACAGAACGATTTTAGAAGCAATGTATTTCTATTGGTAACTACATGTTTCGTGCCTGCACCAAATAATAACAAATTAGAAGGAAAAAAATATGACAAAAAATACAGATTTCAGTATTCTGAGGCTCTGAGCCATTTCTTTTAGAAATACATTGCTTTTAAAATCGTTCTGTGTGACAGGAAAAAAACTCGAAAATCGTGTTGGTGAACACGAATCAATAGATTCAATTAATTTCGTGACTATAACACGAAATGCCGTGAGACTGGGTTGCACATTTGGACAGAGCAAGGCTAACGGGTTGCTAGTAGTAGCATCGTGTATGGACTACCAACACATAAGGGTGTTGTCAATCTTCTTCTCAGCTCATGCTAATAAAGGGAAAGGATCGCATTTCCCAGAATGTATTATTTTGCCATGCTTTGTCAACATTGTATTCTCCTTGTGTCTTGTGTTGTGTAGCCTTTCTCACATATTTCTTTGCTCTACAGCACATGTGTCAAACTCAAGGCCCGGGGGCCAAATCAGGCCCTTGGTGGATTTAATTTCGGCCCGCAGGATGATTTCTAATTACTATTAGATCTGGCCCGCCGGTATATTGCACGCACACCTTCACTCCATCCCGAGGGTCTCCTCAGCTCAGAGCCTGAGCCCAAACATTGATGAACTTGCACCCAAGATGAGATGCCAAGTATCTGAACTAGCATCACAGAGCAGCACACTGAGTTTACACGGATGTTTCCTTCTGCACTTTTTCTCTCACGACAACAGGGCATGTTTGGTTTTTCTTTGAGGGAATTAGTTTTTTTGAAGCTGTTGTTGGCCTGTGGAAAAATGTAATCATAAGAAATGACTCCGAAAAGCTGCAGATAGAGCCATAAGAAATTAATGCAACTGATTATTTAAAGTTTAATGTTGGGCAAATATTTAAGCTTTGTTAGTTCCAGGTTTAATCTGTAATAAGTTCATTTCAATAAGTTTTGCAATAAACATTGAACCAGTCCGGCCCTCTTTTTCCGGCCCGATTCTTTTATTTTGGCCCACTGTGTATTTGAGTTTGACACCCCTGCTCTACATCATTATTGATTTCTGTCTTGACTTTTGAAAGGACACTCAGTTGGTGTTTTTTTTTTTCAGAGAGACTCTTTTTTAATTAATTAAAAATGGTTTTCTTTAATACTCAATATATTGGTTAAAAGCAGTGAGCTTTCTTTTTTGTCCTAGGCAGTTTAATACTGTCTGCATTAAGGTGTACAGAGAAGCATGCAAGGAAATACATTCATATTCTAAAGGAGTCCAGATGAAATCAGATATTCATCTCTTAACACAGTCTCACTTTTTGTCCTTCTTTAAACCTATCTCCCCTTTTTTATCTCTTGTTAATGATATCATAAACCATCCATTATATCGCCCACTATGACTTTAAATCCTTCTCCCTGGCTTTCGGCATGGTCTGTCCTCTGGGGGTTGAACAATCGTTCTCCTGCATACTGCTAATTAGCCAACTATATGTTTCTGTTCATTATCTAAGTTCGCTCTGAGAGAGAATGAATAACGTATGCGATTAGGCTGACGCTTTTAAAAAACTGGGGCAATATGTCTGATGTCTTATAGGCAGCCTCTGAGTATGTTTCATTACATGTAAACAAGTGTTAAATGTCACAAATAAGATTACAAAAAAACACACACACAGGAATAGAGAGAGAGTGAGAGGATA